AGAAGTGAAGAATAACTAAAGGAATGATGGATTTATATAGGCTTTTACAAAGTTGGTTGTAATCCCTTATTTTTTGTGATTTTGTGTATTAATTTATGTACAATATCCATCAAAAAAAAGGAAAAAACCGTTTAATTATGTTATAATGTAAATCAGATTTTAAAAAACGTGATGGAATGATATCTCATCCTAAATATAAGGTTTTAGATGACTACAAATAAACAAAACAATAAACGGATCTCATTAATCTCATTAATTAATTAAAAAATAAAGTCCAAAAAATTAGTGTAGGCGGGATTTTGGAGCGGGAAAAATGAAAGAATTTTTTTGGAGTTTTTCAAACATTTTTCAAACATTAAACCTTAGCATTTTAATATAGTAATAGATAAGTTCTACGGTGGGTGTCCATAAAGTCAAGATTGGACCTGCCGAATTTCCCGGGGATTAATACGCACACACTCGTGCGTGCCCCTGTGGACAAGTTGAGCCCCCAATACAAGACAGGGATATAATTGTCTTTTTATAGTACGCCTTGTAAACACATCATGTTACGTTACATTCCACGAGACACATAAGGAAAACAACCCACGCGTGAATGATGCAATTGGACCAATAAAACGCAGCCACGTCTTCGATCCAGACCTTCAGATACCGATTAACATCACAGGCAGGTGACGATATATGGGAAGATCTGCAAATAGCCGGAAATAGAAGGACCAAAAAGCAAGAACAGGTGGTAGTATTTGAATCACTCGTCTCACTTCTTTTCGTTTTCCTCTCTCTCTCTCTCCTCCAAAACCCCTCGCTCGTTGGTGGCGGCTTTCCATTACCTCTCTCTCTCCTAGGGTTTTTTTCTTCTCTCACTGTAACCCCGCAAAAATTCCGGTCATGGCCGCCGTTGCTCCTCCGGCAGATCGTATCCTTTACTCTGTGCTTTTTAGCTTTCGCTGAATTATTATTAGCTTTCTCTTTGAGCTGTTGTTTGTTCAATGTTTATTTATTTTTTCTCGTTCTGAGTGCATATAAATCGGTGTTATGTTGACGTATACCGTCGCTGGTTATTGTGCTGTTGTAGATCTGAGCTTGTTGAATTTGATGATGTTGCATCGAGTGTTCTTCAGATTTGTCCGAGGCTCAATTATTGTTTGCTTTGTTTTTTTGTTGGGAATTATTACGGCATGGAGATATTGTTAATTTGAAAATTGTTCTTTTTTGATAGCAAACCAGCTGAAATTTGACATTACTTATTTTATATATGTTGTTTTGATAGCCTATTTTCTCCTCATTCATTACACCAAGTTTTGGTTATTGGGCTTTATCGGGGGGTTAAATGTGTTGCTTTTCTTGGTCTGTTACGTAGATTGCAGCTTAATTTCTTTTTCAGTACACTGAGTTTTGGTTATGGGATGATAATTGGGTGAAAGTTTGTTCCTTTACTTGGGTCTGCTACAGAGACTGCAGATTTATTGCAGAAATTGTCGCTGGATTCTCAGGCGAAAACTTTTGAAATCCCAGATTCCACCAAAAAGGTGCTTACATGGAGGGTTTGATATATCAAAGATGTCTGTTGCTTCTACTTGTTTGCAACCGTGAGCTGGTGTTCTTCATACTAATTTTAAATTTTCTATGCAGCCGTCAACTGATTCCAGTAACATGGCTAACGGAATTCAGTCAGATAGATCTATTACACCTTTGTTGCCCGATTTAATGGATCCGACTGTGTGCTATGTTCCAAATGGTGCTTACCCTCCTGCTGCGTATTATTATGGCGGTATGTTTGCTACTTGTGAATCTGGGAAGGGCTTGTTTGCAGATATTATCCTGTGTTTTAACTTGGGTCTTTCATTTGATTTTGTTTATGATTTATGCTTTACGCTATATGTTGTATTCATATCTAATTTGTATTCAGGATTGGATGGTAATGACTGGGAGAATTACGCAAGATACGTGAATCCAGATGGAGTGGAGATGACTCCAGTAAGTCATCTTCAGATTTGAGTCACGTCATATTCCCCTTTTGAAGTCATGTGATTGACTAACTGTTCAATTTATGGATGATTAGTTGCAGTCCAGTTAATCCTATCCTTGCATTGAAAATTTGACCTTTTTTCCTTCTCAAATATTCCAGGGAGCTTATGGGGACAATGGATCACTAATATATCACCCTGGCTATGGCTATACCTCTTATGGACCATATTCACCAGCTACATCACCTGTTCCAACCCTGGGACATGATGGCCAGTTGTATGGAGCTCCCCACTATCAATATCCAGCTCCTTATTTCCATTCATTGACACCAAATGGGCAGTATCCCACGCCAGCTGCCCCAGCCAAAGGTGAGATTGCCACCTCTGCAGCAGCCGACCAAGCACCTTTGTTGGTGGATTCTGCTAGTACAAAATCTAATGGTATTGCCAATGGTGGGGTTCCTAAGGGGAATAATGGTTCAGCGGCAGCAAGGTCAACTTATCAAAATTCGTCTCTTAATGCTAATGGTACGTATGGAAAAGGTGCTTTGCCTGGAGGAGTTCCAGTGTCTGGTTATCAGGACCCAAGATTTGGATTTGATAGTTTCCATTCACCAATTCCATGGTTAGATAATCAGTACTTCTCTGGGCAGCAGAGGCCTGTTACAAGTTCATCAATCACTTCGTCCATTGCAAACGGAAATAGCGTTACTCCATCCAGGGACCAGAATTTCCGTCCTCAGATGATGGTATTTATTGATAGTATGGTTTTCTTTTGGAGGTTTTTTTAAATAAGATGTGCATGACATTTTTACAATTGAAGTATTGTCTAATCCCTTCGAAAATTTTGAGGACATAAGTTGTTGACTTAATCACTTTTTTGTCAACTGACCCCTAGTTATATTTCTTTCTTGGGAAAATAAAAAACACCAACTATTGTTATATACTTTCCACCTGAATTCATCATTATATATTTTTTAAATGTAAAAAAACATTCAATTTTAAATTGATATCGACGCTAGGTAACATAGATCTTTGTTTGAATTTAATTTGATGTTTTCTTCTACTGGGAATGTGTAACATATCTTGCTGCAGTACTTCTATTATCTGAATGTACAGTTTATGTGTGATTTGTTATTGGGTTAATGTTGTGTTTTCTTATCAGGGTTTGAATGCCCCGAGGCCAATGAACACTGTTGGCGGATACATGAATAGAATGTATCCTAATAAGCTATATGGCCAATATGGAAATGCTTATGGGTCAGGTCTGGGCTATGGATCCAACGGTTATGACACACGAATCAGTGGACGTGGCTGGATGACTGTTGATAGCAAGTACAAGACGCGAGGAAGAGGAAATGGCTTTTACGGTTATGGTTATGACAGCGTGGATGGTCTCAATGAATTGAACCGAGGACCAAGAGCCAAAAGTAGCTCTAAGAATACTAAGAGCTTCACGCCGTCGGCTTTAGCTGTCAAAGGCCAAAATATCCCCTTAACTGGAGCAGCTGATAATGAAAATAATCTAAGCTCAACTCCGGACAGGGAACAATACAACAAACCTGATTTTCCTGACAGCTATTCTGATGCCAAGTTCTTTGTCATCAAATCATACAGCGAGGATGATGTCCACAAGAGCATTAAGTACAATATTTGGGCCAGCACTCCAAACGGGAATAAAAAGTTGGATGCAGCTTACAATGAAGCTCAGCAGAAGCCTGGAGGCTGTCCTGTTTTTCTTTTCTTCTCTGTAAGCATTCTGGGTTTTGATGGTGGTTGCTTTATGAGGTTTGCGACATTATATTTTTATTGTACTGACCTACTTTTCTGTCTTATTGGTGGTTTAGGTGAACACAAGTGGCCAGTTTGTTGGAATTGCCGAGATGGTTGGTCCTGTTGATTTCAACAAGAATGTCGAGTACTGGCAGCAGGACAAATGGATTGGCTGTTTCCCTGTTAAGTGGCATATAGTGAAGGATGTACCGAACAGCTTGTTAAAGCACATAACCCTCGAAAACAATGAGAACAAACCTGTAACTAATAGCAGAGACACCCAGGAGGTATGTACTCATTTTTTGTGGTTTATTGTTAGTAATCATGTTAATCAAAAGAAACTATTACATTCAATAAATTGCCATTTATTCTATAAAATAGCAACAGAAAGAATGACGTAGTGAACTATGTTAAATTCTTTTGTGCAGGTGAAACTTGAGCAGGGGCTTCAAGTGCTTAAGATATTTAAGGGTCATATGAGTAGACAATGCATCCTGGATGATTTTGATTTCTACGAGGATCGCCAGAAAAAAATCCAGGAGAAAAAGGCCAAGCAACAGCTGTTCCAGAAACAGGTAAGTTGGTATTTTAAAGAATTGGTTATATGTGCTGTAGTGCTTATGCTAATGAATACGATGTAACCTTCCACAACGCATTATGGTATAGGCTAAAATGTGGGAAGGCAAACCAACTGAGGAAAAAATGAAAGAAGGCAGGGAAAACGCTAATGGTGATTCTAAAACCAATAAGTCACCCGTAGTGGAATCTACCCCGACTGTTGCTAATAATGGGGGGGATATCAAGACGCAAGAAGATGGCTCGATTCCAAAATCTGGAGATGCTGTTAACACAAGTTTGAATGGAGTTCAGGGTAGTTGTTAACTTCACCCATCGAGGAGGGTGGCCTGTAGGGACGTAATTGGTGAAGGTTGGGATGGCCTTTGGTACTTGATTAGGCTGCCTTTTTAGTTTAATGCCTCAACTCCCAAGTGCTCAAGGGCAGGAAGATTTGTCGTGCAGGTTGCCCCATTTTTTTCTCATAAAGGGGCCTATAAAGTCTACATTGGGTCTTCATGTCACTTGGGGTATCTGGGTTTTAGGGTTGTTTTTCTTTATCGGTTTATGGTTCTTTTTTTTTAATGTTGGTCTTTTTTTTT